CGGAGCCTGGGGAGGGTGAAAACGCCCCCCCACGCCATGGTGCAGGAGGCCGACTAGGCCACACCCACCATGGCCACACCCACCCAGCAACCGGGCAGAGAACACTTTGCTAAAATTTTGGAAGCCCACCCATGCAGCTGCCCCTCAAGGTCCCTCCTGCCCAGGAGGGGGAGGCTGGCAGTGAGGCTGCAGCTTGGAGACACACACACACACAAACACACACACACACACACCCCGGAAGAGAGGAGTCCTTTGGCCCAGTAGGTTTACCTTGCAGAGCCGGAGGGAGGAGCCTCCCCTGCAAAGAGCGCTTGGCTTTTCCAATGGGAAGCCATTCCCAGATCTTGCCAGCAGGAGGCTCCCTTTATCTACAAATGCTTGGCAGGGGCCCATCTGGAAGGAGATTTCCCCACTCTCTGGCCTGCCCCAAAGTGAGTTCTTTGAGGGGGTCTTGTTGGGTGACCTCGTTTTGCTTCAGGCTCCCCTAAAGGCAAAACGTTTGAATTTGGAATTTTTTTAAAAAAAACCTTTGGTGAAGGAAATGAAAATGATCAATTTATCAGGGTGATAAAGGATGAGATGGTCCTTTCAAGGGTTCTAGTCCCATTTCGGATCCTCAGAAATACATTTCCAACCCCCCATCCAAATCTTCTTTTCCACAAGGGCTAAAAACTGCCCCACGGGGATGGGGGCATCAGAGGTGGCTGCCTTGTGCTGGGGAGGGGAAAAGGGCTCTGTCATGCCCCTGGTGCAGACTGACTCTGAGGGAGAGGAGGAACAGTGGCAGGGAGTGGAAGTGGGGCTCCGGAGGTTGTGGAGGAGGCTGGGGAAGTGCAGAGGCCGGCTGAGCAGTCAGAGGAGGACCCAGGCCCATCCCCTCTCCATCCCAGGGCACGCAGGGAGGAGAGGATAAGGGAGAAACGTGGTCTCCTTGGGAGGAGAGGGTCTTGATCCTCTTCATGGGCTGCAGCTGTGACCACTGGATAAGAGTTTGGACCTGCGTCCTGGCAAACGCTGGAAACAAAGCGTGTTTTATTTTGGGCTGAAGTTATCTTGGTTGGCGTCCTTCCAACAGACCGTGCCTTGTTATCTCCTTGAAGTTGGTAAATACATCTCCTGTTCCGTTGTGGAAATTTCATCATTCTAGTTTGTTTTAGTTTTTTTTTTTAATTTCACCTCTATCTGCTCATTAAGTTCAGACTGTATTGCTTTCTTTTGAAGACGATTTTTGAGTACGTTTTATCTCCATCTGAGAATTATTGAACCGTGGGGCCAAGTTGGAGGCATTAAAGGACATTTGTTTACGTTTGGGATTTTGTTACGTTTGTGTTACACTCTGGGTCATCACAGGCTCAACGGAACTATTTTTCGGGTCTTGAAAAATAGAAAAAACATGTCAAAACACCTGGTTGCTAGTGGCTAATTACAATATCCAGGCGGGGTTTGATAGGAAAATGGAGAAGAATACACACACACACACACACACACACACACACACACACACTCACCTGGAGAACTAATACAATTGAGAGAGTCCAGAGATATTTCACGAGAAGAGTCCTTCATTCTTCTGCTCGTAACAAAACACCTTATATCACCAGACTTGAAATCTTGGGCTTAAACAACTTAGAACTACACTTCCTTCGGTCTGACCTAATCATAGTACATAGTACAAAATTACCTGCTACAATGTCCTCCCTGAGTCAATGACTACTTCAGCTTCAGAACAACACACGAGCACACAATAGATACAAACTGAAGGTAAACCGTACCAAACTTGATTACAGGAAATATGACTTCAGCAATGCCTGGAATGCTCTACCTGACTCTGTGGTTTCTTCCCCAAACCCCCAAAACTTTAGACTGTCTACTGTTGACCTCACCCCGTTTGTAAGAGGTCTGTAAGGGGCATGCATAAGTTCACCAGCGTCCTACCGTCCCTGTTGGAATGTCCCCTGTTATTCGCCACCCATTTCATGTATTCGGTTATCGGTTATCTAAAACATGCTTGACAGAATAAATAAATAAAAATAAATAAACCTGGGACTCATATTCACTTGTTAGGTGATTCTGTTCTCTTAGACAAGGTGGGGAATGATGGTCCCTTCACGACTGTCCAGATCAGGAATTCTGGGAGTTGAAGTCCATCGGTCATAAAAGGGGCCTTCGAGTTCCCCCACTCCCCTCTTTTTAAAAATAAACATGATTAAACTTTTATAACTTTAAAAACAAATTAAAAAATGTACATGTCTTGATATTAACAGTTTGTGGCATTCATCTTATACTACCATTTTGTGCATTATTTACAAATATATACAATTCATGAGAACGTAAGAATTTTACCTATATATTGCTTATCCTTAATCTTTCCATCTTCCGTCTATCTTAGCTCAATCCAGTCATACCATTTCCCCCAAATCCTATAATACTCAGACTCCTCCTTCTCTTGTAACATCAGGGTTAATTTATCCATCTCAGCCCAAGCCGTTATTTTTTGGATAATCAATTCATCTGGTGGTACATTTTTATGCTTCCAACACTGAGCATAGGGAATTCCAGCTGCCATTAAGATATGTGACACTATATATTTTATATTTCTCTCATAATTCTTTTTAAATATCCCCAGCAAGAATAGTTCTGGTTCCAGTTCCTCCACTCCTGTCTTTCCATTCAAATGAGAGAGTTCTGATAGACATTTAAACCCGTGATTCCCGCAGCCCAGGAAAGAGCGTCTGCCTCGTAATTCAAGGAAGACAATCATTGCAAATCCAAAAGTGAAAATGTTAACTCTCGGCAGCTTTTTAAAAACCTCCAGAACGTTAAAGTTTGACGTGGGTATCCTTATTACGGCAGTGTAGGAGAATCTGTGCCCTCATTAAGGTCACCCCACTCAAACCGCTTCTTGCTGCACTGCTGAGAAAGTCCAGGGTCACAATTTTGCTTTTAAAGCTATCGATTCACCGACATACCTCTGAAGTATTGCAACCTCAGCTTTTCAGGGAGGAATCCAATAAGCAGAGAGCATTTGTGTAAACACAACCATCTTCATTAAGGGTGCATGGCCAATCTCCTCCCCCTCCTCCAAATGTCCTCCAGAAGAGCTCTCTTGGGGGGGGGCTTGTGGCTCTCCCAGGGTCCCAGGAGGGGGGGGTGAGGCCTGCAGCTGGGCAGAGGGTGAGGGTGGGCTGCTACCTGTTCATCCCAGTTCAGGCAAATTGGTAGATAATTTTATGGCCGGTTTGGAGAACCAGCAAATCCCACCCCTGGCTGGCCCCCACCCACCCTGCCCCACTCCTCTCAGGAGTCTCCACGTGGGCTGTTTTGGATGCCAGGTAAATACAGGGCACACACAGAGGCTCAGGGAGGGAAAAAACAGGCCTCCGGAGTCCGGGGTGGCTGTTTTTGCCACCCTGGAGGCTCAAAGAAAGCCTCCAGAGCCCAGGGAAGGCAAAAACGCCCCCACCCCCCCAGTGTGCAGGAGGCCAACTAGGCCACGCCCAGGGGTGGGATTCTACTGGTTCTGTCCAGCTCTGTAGAACCGGTAGCTCTGAAGAGCAGCAGACATAGAACCGGTTCTATGTCTGCTGCTGTTTTGGCCTCCCTGCCCGCCTGGGCTCTTACCTGACCTTTATTTCCTGGTTTTTCAACCTCAGCTGCCTTGCGAGGCACAGTTGCAGTTGAAAAAGCAGGAAAAAAAGGCTTTTTCAAACGTTGCTTCCCTGCACACAGCGCTGCTCAGCTGTCCAGGCAGCAAATTGATGAAGATTTACACACATGCGCAGCATGCAGGGAAGCACATCGTAAATCACCAAACTGGTAGTTAACTGGTGGTCGGATCCCATCCCTAGCCACGCCCACCATGGCCACGCCCATCCAGCAAGCGGGCAGAGAACCGGTTGCTAAAATTTTTGAAGCCCACCCCCGCTGGCAGAGGGGCAGCATCGCTTCAGCCCCTGGGTAACCTTCCCTGCGATGTTAAGCGGAGTTCAGATTTGACTCAGACCTCCCTGGTGGGTGAAGGGAGAAAGGGGTCGTCAGCCTTCTCCATTTGTAGGCTGGTGCTCTGCGCGGCTGAGGGGCCATTCCTTGTTGGGGGTAGAAATTTGTGTGCACGAGATTCTTCCCCCCTCTCCCTTCCTTCTCCTGCTGCCATCTGTGAAGGCGCAACTGCCACTGTTCTGGGACAGAAAGAGGCTCCCAAGACTTTCTCGTGCCCTTGTCCTGCTGTTTCTTCCTTCCGAGCTTCCTCCCAGCACACCTCATGGCCACCAACAATGGGGTGGCCTCCTTCGCTTGCCCGTCACTCTTGGGGCTCCCTCCCTAGGGGAGGGGGATGTGCTGCAGCCTGCCAAGCCCAGGGATGTTTCTGCTCTTTGCCCTTCTGGGCGGCCTCCGGACCGGCCAGGGGCACGTCCATCTGTCTGGCCGGGAAAGTCATTGCCAAACACAGAAGGAGATGCCCTCGGAATCGAGAGTTGGGGATTTCCATGTTTATGTGTCGCAGCCCCCCACACACACTTCCCCCCCCCCCGCTTGTGTAATCTTGGCTACAATTGCAGCCCACTGTGCAAACAGCGCCGCATCCGAAAGAGGTCACCTGCAGCCACCCCACGGAATGCTGGATAATCTGGCAAGCGAACCTTTGCATCACTAAGGCAGGATTGAGGCGCCATGTGGGGCCATCGCCCTTCCATCTCCCTAATCCTGCCGCTGAATGGAGCTCTTAAGCCCCTATATTATTCCAACATTATTATCTATTGATTGATTTTTAGAAAGGGGTAAATCGTGTAAATAAAAGTAACGTCTGGTCTGATTGCTTTGCCGCAAGAGACCACTTCCACGGGCCATGCGTCCAGCTGGCTGCCAAGCAAGGGCAGGGCAGAGGACCGGTCAAGGAGCTGGGGGGGGTGGCGGCGCGCGATGAAGCCCGAAAGAGGGGAGGGGGCTTGAAGGTGGCCCTGCGGAAGCAACAAGGAGGGCTCAGGACTCTATGTGGAGGGATGGGTGGAGATGCCAGCAGGAATCTCTGGGTGAGGAGCAAGTGGCAGGATTAGGGGGG